CATTCGATAGTCAGGAGATTGACATCGGCGCGCTGGACCTCCCACAAGAGATGATGCCGCCTTGGCTAGAATACCTCCCTGGAGATGTCCTAGGGCTATTTGATCCTTCTAATGGCGGCAATCACCATCAAATGTGATGGTCAGGAGGCAGGATACGTTCTAATCTTCGTTTTTTTTACGAACTTTCTTTTGTCTGAACATGATGACTTTGGACATGAAACTATTTATGACTCCACATTTCAGGGCCTGTCGACCATGGCCTCTTCTCGTTACTATCACCATTTAAAGCCATTTTCTCAGACGCCACGACATAGCCTTTGAAACTTTGGCCCCGACTGCCTCAGACCAAGCCAGTTGATCAGTTGCCGAGAACCGGGGAAGTCGGCATCGTGCTTGGAGTTCGTGATGTATTAGACTCATCGGCACAGTGTTGGAGGGAATGGCGCGTGCAGCCACATGTTCTAGATGGCACGCGCCGAGTCTGGTGTTTGGGACGGTCGGAATATGTTGATTTGAAAAGCATTTTTATTGTTGATTATATTTTTCGCATTTACTATCACTTCAATATACCCCACCGTCGTTGGTCCTCCTCCAAAAAGGGAGTGGTCTCTTCTTTATATCACCCCCTTTTATATTCCCTACCATCTCCTTGCAACATGATATGTTATTCTCTGCCAGACATGGACAGCCCTTGTCCGCCCAATGCTGAGTGCGCGGGGTGTGGGTTGGTTCCAGGAAAGTTATTCGCCGACTCGGCCATGACTTTGCCTGCTACAAGCTCCTCCTCTCCAGCCTCATTGTCGCCCTCAACTCCACCAGCAGAGGGTGCGCCACCGGCCGTAGTGCCGACAGATCCGCCTGCTGTAGGAGCAGTCTGGTCGTGTGAACCCTCTGTTAACCGTTCCGGGGCACGATGTTCGTCTCCACCGGCCTGTACTGGAGGGTCACTCGGCTCTGGTTCCTGCTGTGCCGGGTGGTTCGGCTTAGGATGCCTGCCTGCAATTAATCAAAGTCCCGAACATAGAAAACAAGGCAAAGTAACAGCAGTACTTACGTGATTTTATCAAGGATGCCCATGAGAAATATTAATTTGACTACTGACCCGAATGTTTGATGATGGGGAAGATTACAGTCAAGATCGAGCCAAGGAAGGGGCTTAAGAGGTTTCGGAGGTACACACTAGAAGGAACATACACGAAGGGCTTGTGGTCATCATCGTGCGCTCAATTTTAATTGAGGTGACGTATTGGACAGCAGCAACGATGTCATTTGGCTTTACGGCCATCAAGTCTGGGGTAAACTTGGGGAAGGGGATCTGCAAGCGTTTGATAGGCTAGTGGTGGGTGGAATCATTCTAGAACTGGCTAGGCCAAAGTCTCCTTTTCTTGGGTTTTTCTGACGTTGCCAGACACCTCTTCCATTTAGACCTTTCCCTCGATCATATGTCGATCCAGTTTAAAATACAGACTTCATCATTAATATTTATCATCTTCGTGAGTGGGTGGTGTTGCCGTGGCTCCAACTTGTGCGAAAGAGCCCGCCAAGAGAAAATGTAAACAAGTTTGTGTAGTTTCTAGTATCAACACGACGCTCAAGCCAACGTAAGTATTTGACATGTCATTATGAAATACTAAGCTCTTTGGTATCCGCATTGAGCACATTCCTCTCGTAGAATAGTTGCACACCGGTAGGCTCCGGTCCTCTTGATCAATGTGATCAGTTGGCCGTGATAATAAATACTGTGTACGATTTTATTTGTCTAAAGTTAAAGCATCTCTTTTAACATTTGCACTTCGATCCTGGGTTTTGCAGTGTCTAGAAGTTGCTGGTTGAATTTGTCAAGTCGTTGCACATGGTCCCTGTTATCACTGCCAAAGGGCCAGCTGATCTGCAGGGTCCAGCCATGGTATTGATATCTGCCCATTTATTGGTTCAGGTAAGGCTGGTAGAGCATCTTCATTCGTGATAAACCACCTAATAAACGTGTCTATCGCAGATTGGCTCAATAATCTCCACCTACTGCAAATGTATTGATCCCCCTCCTTATCAAGGTGTGTGCTCTGGAAAGTGACACTCTCTTAGGCGATAAAGAGCGATGATAATCACAGACTCTTCTATCAAGACAATTTTCTGCTTCGTTGCTGAACACAAAAGTCTTTATACTCTATATTTCAACTTATTTTCACCTTAGTTACAGACTCGATGGACCCCATATCAATCATTGGTCTCATAGAGACTGTCGTAGGCATAGTCAAAAAGCTATACGACACTTATGAGGCCTTTCGGGATGCTCCCGAGAATATTCGGCAACTCTGTGACGAGCTGTTTGCCCTGCAGGATATACTTGCCAGGATTTCTAGTAACCTGACATTCAGATCAACCGTGAACCACGCAGACAAGTACGACTCGCGCACTCGCATCAAGGAGATGATATCTAGAACAGCCCAAATCTTGGAAGATCTTTTAAAGAAGTTTGCCAAACCTCAGAGTGGAAAATCTCGTAAATGGCTCGAATCCTCGAAACAGCGAGTAGGGTGGCTTCTCGATGAGAAGAAAATTGAAGATGAACGACAGAAAATCGAACGCCTTAAGGATTACTTCAGCCTAGTCTTGTCTGTTGAGTCTTTGGAAGAGGCCCAGACACTTCACAATGATTTTGTCACATTCAGCAACCAAATTTTACAGCTATCCCGACCGGTTATATTGAACTGGATCTCGGCAAACGATTATCACTCCAGACATGTACAATTAGTGAATTCACACTTACCAGGAACGGGCAGGTGGTTCCTCGAGGGAAATAGGTTTTCGGAATGGATCAATCCAGATAAGCACCCATCAAGAATTTTATGGTTACAAGGCAAAAGTGGCTCGGGCAAGTCGTGTTTAATCTCACGCGCAATTGAGACCGCGATCGAGAAATGGAAGAGTGATACGGACAGTGTCGTCTTATATCACTACTGCAGCTTCCAGGACATGTCATCTCAAAGCTTGGCCGCTTTGCTAGGATGTCTCATCGTGCAGCTTTGCGACAAGAAATCGGGGCTATGGAAACTGGTCGAAGAAGCCTACCTAGAGAACGACTATGGGCAGGGTGTCTTATTCTCGATGGCGGCGCCGACTAGCAAATTACGTTCAATATTTGGCACTCTCTCCCTTGAATTCCCCAAGGTTGCCGTGTTTCTCGACGCACCTAATGAGAGCTCCGAATCTGTTAAGTTAATCGAAGCGCTAGCTTCGGCAGCTTCGGAGCATCCATTCATGCAAGTCTGCATCTCGTCCACGCCTAATCTGGATATCAAGTGGCTTCAGGCGCGGGGGAGTCAGTTCGTGCTGGTGAAAATGGACACTATAAAGCATGAGCAAGACATTGAACCATGCATCAGAGCCCACCTAAAGCATCACACATCACTGTCGAGTCTTCCTCACAATCTCAATGAGGAGATTGTAAGAGCTCTCATTCAGAAGTCAGAGGGCTCGTTCCGTTTTGTAGCTTGTCATTTGACAGCCCTTGAGACCAAGCAAACCTTTGGCGAAGTAAAGAAAGCCATCAAAACCCTCCCCGAAACCCTAAGTGACAGTTACCACCACTTGCTCCGCGGAATACCACCCCATTTCAGGATCAGAGTTCGACGACTCCTGCGGTGGCTGATAATACAGACTCGACCCTTGACTCTCTCTGAACTTGAAGTAGCCGTAGCGTTGGAGAATGACTTGAGCCAAGATAACTTGCTTCTGCCAGGGAAAATGGACGAGATCCTGAAGGTTTGCGGGAGCCTCGTGCAGTATGATAGTACGGCTGAGACGGTCTCCCTAGGCCACTCGTCGGTAAAGGAATTCCTGCTTTCGGAAAAGTTCATAAACCAGAAGTATCCTGACCTGAAAGATCTGAGTTCTGGAAGGTTTATTGACATGATAACGTCGGCCCTGAAAGGCTGTGCGCTGTATCTCACACAGGATCCATTGCGAGAAGGTTATGTGGCTGACATAGCAGGACGGTTAAAGCAATTTCCTTTTTTGAGCTATTGTGCGAAATCGTTGGATTACTACTGGAAGTTCGCTGCGAGTGCCAATATGACGACTTTTGACCCCGACTTGACTCGAAGCCTGAAGCTCGTATGCCACGCTAACAATAAGCACGGTGGCTTCTGGGGGAGCTTCCTCCAAGTATTCGAGCCAGCCTACACGACACCTCCCTATGACTCGGCGAAGATGCCGACTCCTTTAGGGTTTGCAGCTGCTCGTGGCTGGACCTTCATGATTGACTTCATGTTGAAAAACGGTCTCGACTCCGACCTGGAGATTGCTAGCGGCTATGCGCATTACACGCCTTTGACCCGGGCTATACTATATGGCCAAGAAGCTACTGCTCGGTTGCTATTAGCTAGAGGCGCACGATTCGTGAGAAATGATGATGTGCGAGACGCCTTGGAGAAGCTGCCGTCGGATTTCCGTGAGCTGCTGACGGACTCAGAGAAGTCGCAGTTCCAGGTTAAGAGTCAGAATCACCAGCCTGGGTTGTCTGGAACAGCAAGCACATCCACAGACAATCATCTACATGGGCTAGTACGTCCCGGGGCCACCAAGACAAGTCAGTTGGCATCCTCGCGGCCAGGAATCATTCAGCCTATGTCCAGAGTAGCTCCTATCCGCGGTACGGAATATAATCAGCAGCTTCCTGGTCCTTTAATTATACAGTCAAACCATCATCCTAGCCGTCCCAGCTATACTGCTCCGCTCTCTACGCCCCTCCATCAGTATCACAGTGTTTATCCGCCACCAAAGGCGGTGGTTCCTCGAAACCCCGGAGACTCAGTACAATGAAGCGACTTGTATTGCAATTCAATTGGATTTGATATATAAGCATATCTCTGCGGATAGATCTTCTCTAATGCCATGAGCCATTTGTTTTCCTTCATCAATCCTGGCACTGAGGTCTGTTCTGAACCCAGAAACTATGCTCATAGTTTGTTGTTGGTGAGTTACATTGGTTGGACAATACTTCACATCATGCCATCTACATAGGCTCCCGATGCCTTCAACGTGGCATAGAAGAGCTTCGTTTCTGCGCAAATGACCATTCGTCCGTTGCCAGCAAATTGAAAGTTTGCAGATGTGGTACCAAGATAGATCTTGCCAATCAGCTTGCCCGACGGGTTCCATACGTTGACTCCATCGCCGCAACCAGCGTAGACGTTGCCGTTTGAGTCGCAATGAATACCTAAACGCATTGTCAATCATCTTTCTCAGTAGGTGGTCGGGAGCACTCGGGCTGTACCATCTGGGACACCCGAGTCAATAAAGGCAAATATCTTGCGATTTTCCCAGGTCCCATCGTCTTTCACGTCGTACCGATAACTATACGGCAGTTTAGTACGTCGCTATCAGATTGTCTCTTCAATAGGGCCTAACTTACATTGCCGATGGATCGGAATAGTTGTATCCTTGGAATCCATGGTTCGTCCCTGTATCAGTGACATAGGCATACAATCCGTCGGGTGAAAATGATATTCCTTTGATAAGATAGTTAGATTCCAACAGCACAATTTGAGCTTTATCTTCGCTTACCATTCGGCAAAGTGAAACCGTCTGCAACGACAGTCACCGCCCCAGTCTTATCATTGAGGCGATATACTTGATTCTGGATGCCGGGGACCGGGCGGAAGTCCTGCAAGTAGCCGTAGAGAGTGTCGGTGAAGTAAATGTCTTTGTTGCGCGGGTTGATGCCAACATCGTTGAGTGAGCTGAATTGCCGACCAAAGTAGTTGTTCAGAACCACTGCCCTCAATCAGCATTTCATAGGTTTGGTATCCTGAGTTAAGCTCAGCCTACCGGTAGTGTTATATGGTGGAAGCGGATTCATCACATAGATGGCAGATGGGATATCGGGACCAGCACCTTCACCCATAAACATGATCTGGCCTTTGTAATTCGTCGCTCCTGCGCACCCTCGTCAATGATACAGTCCTGGAGTGAAATGTTATAGAAATACTACCATTAGGATTGACAACCGTAGGATTAGAGTCAACGGTGTGAACGGTAACCCGGCCAGCTGCATTTGTTAGATTGGATACCGCATCTGCCTCGGACAGGCTGATCTTTTCCACGATCGCTGATTTCGCAAGACCAGTTCCAGCAGCTTTGGCGCCAGCATTTTGAACGAAGAAGACCTCGTCTGTAGGAGGATACCACACAACAGCTTCATGAAAAAGAGGGTCCTTGTCAGAGCTAGCGATGATCGTCAAGGTCGGGTTGCACCCAATGATGGCGTAGAACTCGTCGTCGTAGATATGGAAGGGCTTGGCAAGGAGGTCGGCGTCGCTAATTCCTGGTGGTTTGAAGACTCTCGTGCCATTGGCCACTGTGGACGGCGGCACGTTTGATAGAACGTTAAAGCTCTTCTGATTGATAATCTGTGCCTGCGACGGAACTTCTGCAGCGCATGTAATGCTCGATGCGGGGCTGAGGCGGCCTTGGATAACGAGACCAGCAAGAAGTGCCAGGACGGGAAGAGAGATCCAAGCCATTGTTCTGAGTTCAACACCAGATGTAGGTGCCAATTGACTTTGTCTTGAAGCTGCGGGTTTCTTGATCTCTTGTGGCGACAGGCCAGAGGCCCGGGACTGAGACTTTGCGCCCATTTTAAGAGTCGTGAGAGTAGCGGAGTCGTTGCTTGACTACTCTAATGATATCATAACACGGCAGGGCCCAGGATCTGCATAAAACGAGAGCGTCTTGGCTTTGTCCTCCGGCTCAGATAGCCTCAAACAGGTTCAAGCTAGAGCAGCTCGAGAGCGTGTGGTTGGGCCGCTTCAGGTGTTACAGTGGTAAATGCCGTGTGTGTGCGGAGGAAGCCTCCTAAAAAGATCTTGCGAGAGTTCGGCATTGGGGTGATTGGGTACCGAACGCGGAGGCGTGCGGGGCCAGCTGTGGGGAAAGTCCCAGTTATTCGGGGCCGCTTCCAAAACGGCCATCTGAGGTGAGGCTATATTGAAATATTGATTGATATTGTTGGCCTCGGAATGGATTCAACTAAAAACAATTCCGGTAAGAGAGATTTGAAGTTAAATCTACTGACGCAATTGAGTTATAAGTATTCATAGCAGCAAGTACGTTGATTCTATCAGTCTTACAGGATATTGCCCCCTACCAGGGACAATCGATTGCAACTTTGTTTCCCTACCAAAAAGTATCAGTATGCATAGTGGATTAGGGGAGCATGATCTTACCCCTGCCAGCAGTCAGGTGACTTATTTGCTATTACTTACTTCATTTTTACTCGCTTCACTTAGCTATCATTACACGGAATACAAGAATGACTACCCCTTTCATTCCATTACGTTCTTTTTGCCCTGGAGGCTTCTTTTTGTGTGTATGCTATGTGATATCTTGAGAGGGTGTTGGTCAGCAGTAGGCACTGCTGCCCTGTTTCAATAGCATTGCGTTATGGGGAAATGACAGAGAATCGCTGCTTCAATTTCGCATTGCCAAGAACCATTGTATTTATGTAGGCCTGAAAGCACGGTGCACAACCACATCTTTGCTAAGGGGATGATGAGTCGATGGCTCCACAACTGTTAAAGGACAAAAGCGTCGATGATGGAAGGATGCTTACGACCAAGCGACTGCCTAATATAAGATGCAGAGTAAATTTAATCTGTAATGATATGATATCACCCTTGTGGTGTGAGGAATGTGTTAATTTATTGTAAATACGAACAAATGATGAGCTATAAATCCGACAAGATAAGTACTTCATTCTCGCGGTGTTCGATTTCGCGTCCTATATCCTCCAGTTGGGCTTGCAGAACTCCTAAGCGACTTTAGTCTTGGAAACTCAGTTATGGTCGTTGAGCTTGGAGTCTTCAGGTTTGTAACCCGAGTACGAGGACTACGCACGCCACAGGACGCTACAATTGGGAGCACAGAGCTATGCGTTAACTCAATAGAGCCTAGGGGATAGCCATCTAGAAACCAACTCATGTGTGACATGAGATATCAGGAGATAATTTTCATGATCCATCCCCCACTCTCGAAGCTGAATACCTTATGACCAAGGACATTTCTTGTGGAAATATGACACATCCCATCACTTTACGTCTTTCCTATATTCCACCACATCCAAGCACAAAAGAGAGAAAACAATCGCGATGGGACTCACACGCGGCATAATTGCTATCATTGGTAGCGGAGGGATGGGACTGGCAACAGCCCGTCGGCTCGGCTCCGGAAGGCGGATTTTCCTCGCAGACTATTCTGAGAAAAACATGGAAGCAGCCACAAAATCACTTCACGATGATGGCCATGATGTCGCCACACATATTGTGGACGTTGCTGATTTCAAGTCTGTCAAAAGCTTCGCTGAGGAAGCTGCCAACGCGGGTTATCTCGAGGCAGTTGTTCACACTGCGGGTCTATCTCCAGCGATGGCGCCCGCCCGGCGAATCTTCGACGTAGATCTTATAGGGACTGCAAATGTCATTGACGCATTCTATGAAGTGATTCCACCGAGCTCGTCATTAGTTTGCATTGCCAGCATTGCGAGATTCATGTCTCCGGCGTCTCCCGAGTTGGAACGACATTTCGCAACGGCATCAAGGGAAACTCTTCTCACTCATCCGGAGCTCGATTTAGAGTTACCGAATCCAGCATTGGCTTACTCGTTGTCTAAACGAGCTAATATCTTGCGTGTCCAAGCTGCAGCTCGCTCGTGGGCGGAAAAGGGGGCAAGGATCAACTCAATTAGCCCGGGGGTGATTATCACACCAATGATCCGCGAAGAACTCAAGTCGCCTTCTGGATCTCAGGTTCAAACAATCATAGACTCTGCGCCTCTCCGTAGGGGTGGAACCGCGGACGAGATTGCTAATGTTGTTTCGTTCCTTGCCTCGCCGCAAGCCTCCTATATCACGGGCACAGATATTGTGGTTGACGGTGGTTTTATACCCGGAAGTCAGTTCCGTAGCGTCTAATCAAAGAATTAGCACCATGATTAAATGGGGGTGTTTATCAAACACACGACACACAAGTCTATCTTCTTATACGTTTAGGACAATCACATTCACTACTAATACTGGATTCAATGTGCGGGTAGTGGTGATCCACATGAGCTTCTCAGCAAGGTCAATGATTTTCTCAAAATTCCAGAGTTTCTAAATACATTCTAGAGGTGTGGGTATCATTTCTTAGTTAGCCTTTAACACTGACACTGAAGGATATGGATCTGCGCCAGAGGTCTCTAAGAAAATCAGAACACCGTGACCATCTCTGTCAAGATCGTCACTGTATGGCCTCATTATTCACAGCAAATTCTTGGGAATTGCCCTTCAATGTGGGTTCTGACGTAGTTTTTCTGCAAGAGCTGCAAGAGCAGTGACGTGTCGGACCGAGGATCATCGGTGAAATACTTCAAACTGGAGACTATACTATTAATTTCCTTTGAGCTGCCCCGTTTTCTCCCCATGAGGATCACTGTCTGTAGTCTGGCAGGCGTCATTGGACAAGGGCCGTGCCGATGGGAATTTTCACTGACAGCTGAGCTGAGACATGCAGATATGAGAGTACTTACTCCATAAAGCCTTCTATGTCTCCACAAATCGAATCTATAAAGCTGTCAAAGGTTCTTAGGGTCAACTTCTCACAAGCTTCAATACAGCAACGCAAACTTGATTTCTCAATTACCTTTTCACTCACCTGGTTTATCATGTCTACTCAACAAGAGCACATACTGAACCAAGCCAAGCAAAATTACTTGGATTCAGCTGAAAAAGCACGCGACGCAAGGCAGAGGGCTCTAGAGCAGTACAACAGGGAGCAGGACGTTGGATTGGTTGACAACGAAATGACTTTCAACAACTGGGTCTCAGGAAAAGTATGTTGAGACACGGCAGCGGCATGATTGAACAACTAATAACGATTTAAGGACCCGGCCTTTGTCATGGCTTACAACGATTATGCCAGTAAAAAAAGCGAGCTCGAACAAATCCTCGCTACTGTTGATGAAACAGCCTTCCAAGAATTCCAGCAGAAAACTAGCAAAGAGCTCTCGAAGCTGGTCCAAGCAAAAGAGGATTGGCAATGGGCCATTATCACACCTGATATATAGTCACTTTCGGAATAGATTCTCCTTGTGCTCACATCCAGCCGCTCGCGATATTGGCGACTGCGAGAAATCTCAAACTATGTTGAGTGTCAAGCAAGAGCAATCTTTCCTTCATTTACAAAATTGGTTTTCTTTTCCAGGTTTTCTCTATAGCGACAAGATTGCAGGTGCCCTGCGCATTTGCTTCTCAATGCGCACCTCCGTGATTCTGTTATGTCTTAGTAAATTGGCCAAATTGTCACGCTCATTCACACCTTCGACTGTTTTTTTACCTTCGTATATTTCTTTTTTAAAAAAGTATGTCATGGCCTTTGAGGTTCGTTACATGTGACACTGCGACAATACTGGCTTGGAACAACATACAGCCAAAGCTTCTTGTTGTCAGTTTACTCTAGAAGCACTTCCAAGGTACCCGCAACACGGATGCTAACCTAAATACCGGCAATGTCTTGTGTGGATAAATGCATCTATATTTTGCAACGTAGCCCTGCATTTGGTTTCAATTCCAATTTCCGCCTAATCCGAGCATCAAGAAAGCTGGATCAGGACTTCCTGCGAACGAGTTCATAAATGCGTCCGAAGTGTCACTCATGGTCTTCAACGGATGTTCTGCAAGAGGGATGTAACTAGAAGCACCCAACTGCATTCCGTATAATGTGTTCTCTGTGTATGTTGTTAGCACTCTTCCGATCTGCTTAAAGGTCACAACTTTAAGTTTGGCATACCTCGCAAAAATGATGGAATGCCCTCTGCGATCCATCCAGACCGACTATCAGGTCGATCGTCATAACTATTTGGTATTTGTTGAGAGCTTGCAGTAGGATCTAGTTTTGCAAAGAGAAGGCTTATCATGTCTGTCACCTTTCTGGCCTCTTTTGACCGCGCACGGGACTTGCAGAGAACTTCGTAAGAACGACGCAAAGCCTTGGTGATCTCTCCCAGCTCCTGACTATCCATCGAGTGGATTGGTTGAGGTCCCATGTTTCGGTAAACGTACGTGCAGAGCACTGTTGCTGCAACAAGAGATTCATGGGCGGCCGTAGATGATAGCTTCCTGTGACAAAGGATTTAGTATTTCGGTTCTAGACGTGAGGAGAAGGGAGTGATCGTGGTTGCCTCTGTGCGAAGCTAAAGAAATGAACAATATCAATGACATTAGCCAGAGATGTCCACGCACCATTTCATTGCATACAAAGTCCCGCCAGGCTGTGTTTCAGTGTCTATAATATCCTGGTGTCCAAGAACTTTCAATGCAGAATTGACACATTTTTGGCAAGAACCATCAACGTCGCCCTTGTCTAATGAACGAGCTGGCGCATTTATGAGCAGCCAACTCAAGATGATTTTGGCCTTATGATATACGCTGGCAAGAGTAAGGCGTAGCAGTATATTCATCGGAGTGTCGGCAAGGCATTTTGATAAGGT